GCTGACCATGCGGCAGGGCAGAAAAAATGGCCGCGGACCACGTGTCAGGGGCGGAAAAACGGCCGCTGACCATGCGGCAGGGCAGAAAAAATGGCCGCGGACCACGTGTCAGGGGCGGAAAAACGGCCACTGACCACGTGGCAGGGTGGAAAAATGGCCGCGGACCACGTGTTGGGTGGAAAAACGGCCACGGACCACGTGGAATGGGCGTAAAAATGGCCACGGACCATGTGGAACGGGCGGAAAATGGCCGCAGACCACGTGGAACGGGCAGAAAAATGGCCACGGACCACGTGGCATGGGCGGAAAATGGCTCGTAAGTCGAGATGAGTTTGTAAGTAGAGGTAAATTTTTGGGCCCGGAGCTGATCGTATCTTGAAAATTTCGTAAGTAGGGGCATTTGTAAGTAGAGGTACCACTGTATATGCAGTAATGTGAAATAGCCAAAACTCACAGGATTCTTTGTTCTCGCATGATCTCGTGAGATTTTGGCCTTTCTTAAAAAAACAAAACTTTTTAAATGATTTTTTGAATTAGTCTGTAGCCATAGTATGTGAAATTGCGGATGGAACCCAACAGTTGAAAAGGCTGTAGGCCCGTTTAATAAAGACTAATGCTCACCCTAATAGAACACAAGTAAGGGCCTACGCACAGTTCAAGCCTACACTATGGCAGTAAGAATGGCAAAGCAAACTTGTTTCTCTGTTTTGACTGCATTTGCAAATAATTGCACACTTGGTTGATTGCCCACCAGCATTATTTAAAATAAGCAATTAGTGAAAAGTGAACCAGAAGATTGTTTGCTGGGTCATTATAATGAGTTTGTTAAACATCTGGAGGATACAGTTGCTCATATTTGCCTGGAAATTGGATATTAGCTAGGCAAATCCAGCTGAGAAGCAGAGGCTTCGTCTTGTGGAGTTATATGGGATCTGTTTGAACCTACAGAAGAAAACTGTAGAGAGAAAGGAAGATGACCTTGGTGAAGATATGCAGATGTTGCCAAGGCAAAAGGGGGCTAAAACATTTTTAAAGTCCAGAAGGTCCAGATAACATTCAGAAGTAGCTCAAACCCATACCTCCCTAATACTGAAATATAAGAAGGAATACAATCAGGAGTACAGCACAATCAGACTTGCAAGATTCTGTTATTATAGCCAATCTCAATGAAGGTAGTTTTAGCCTAAATCCTAACAAGACAGAACAGTTGTAGATTCAGAAGCCAGGTCTGTCCAGAGAGAGTTTATCTTTTGACTCTGGATAGGGTGGTGCTTTCTGAGAAAGCTGGTCCATAACTGGGGGGAGGGAGGGGAGGAGAATCTTTACACAGGTGCAGCCTTTCTTGGATAGGTTTTATTCATAGTCACTCAAGCACGCTTTATGGATTATTAAAATGTGCTTTATATGTGGTTGCTCTTTAAGACCACTGAGAAGCTTCAGCTGATGCAAATGCAGTGGCTCAGATAGTTATGGGTGCACTGTGTTTCCCACTATTATGGGAGATGCTTTTGTTACTTTATGGGTGAAATTCAAGATGTTGATTGCCATCTTTAAAGTGCTATATGGCTCAAGGTCTGGATAACTCTATGACCACCTTCATGTTGAATCTGTCCATCAAGATCTGAGAGGAGGGCTTGTTGAATGTTGTCCCACCACAGAGGAATGCCATCTTCAACAGCCTTGGGCTTGAGCTTTCTTGGTAACGAACCCTCCCCCCCACTTTACAATAGATTACCCCCCCCCAAATCCAGACCAACTCTTCCTTACTATATTTTGAGAGCTCTAAAAATATGCTCTTCAGAAAGACATTTAGAGATAGGCAAGAAGAAATGATGGTGCATTGGACTGATTGATTATAGTTGTATCAATTTTGTTTTATGCTCCTCAGTGTCTCTGGAAATAGAGCGATATATAACTTGCAGTAATAAATAAACCAATGAAAGAAACTTGATGTGTTATAAATCTTCATTTGGATTTAGAACATGTTCAAGTCTGAATGTGGATGAGAAGAATGAAGATGAAAACTAGAATACTCTAGTGGGGTCTCAACAATTTTGCTTTACTAATGTAGTACTTGTATGATTGCTGTGGATCTTATACTGCCTTGCTAAATAATGAGTTCTGCTGATTACCTCTACATATAATTTTAAAATGCTATTATTTTTTGTAGTATATTAGCCTACTGAGAAATAAACTATTTGCTGTCATCTTGGAAAACGGTCATTAATATGAAACCAGATAGTATGATTCCAGAGGAGTTTGACTAGCAGAAGCTTTGCTTCTTGTGGTTTGTAATTTCTTAAGTGGGGAGAGTTCAGGGTTTTTTTTGCACTCAATCCTATGTCTAATAAAAAATGTAAAATAACCTACAGCAATCATTCCCAGATAATAAGCTGGGCATTTCATTGATTTATGATTGGATTTATACACCATTTTTTAAAAAAAACCTAGCTGACAATCTAGGTAGTGTAAGGCACTCAATGTTACCCAAGTTTCAGAGAGCCAAACAAAACTTGAGACTTCTGTAAAAATATTAACAGATGTTTATTGGCCAAGAAGCAGCTGGGTGGGCTTGATCAACACTGTGGCATGAGTGTCGAAAGAAAACCATACCTTGCAAAGCAAACATCAGAGATTTTTATAGGAATGTACAGGTGTAAAAAAATTCAAATCAGATAGTACATCCTCTGATGCCCATACAAGGGATTTCTAGGATGGTCTAGGGGAGGAGTAAAGGTGGGTCCTAAAAAGGTGAAAATAAGTTCGACTTTCTTCTTGTTACTGAGGAAACACCCTATGTCGGTACTTTCTTATCTCTTTGTTCCTCTTTGGAATTCAGGGTCTCTCTCTCTTGGCAACTTTTTCTACCTGGTACCAAGCTAATTTATAGCTTGTTTATTCAAAAACAGTCAGGCATCTAACGGATAGCTGTTTCTGGGTAAAAGAACTAAAAGAAAATGGGGTGGGGGAAATGCTGTGCTCTTTAAAAAGCAAAAAGCAAGTTACATTTTTAAACATAATGTGAGATAGAGTGCACTATTAAATGTATGTTATATATTATGTGAAATATATATAGAGTATAAAATTATGTATTAAAATAATACCCTTCAGTAGCTTATGCCTTCAAGGAAAATACAAAATATAAACAATACAATTATCAGATGGCCCTGACCATGTTTGCCTTCAGGAAAGCAGGGAAGGCCTGGCTTTTCCCCCAGTCACTGGGACCAGAATGTTGATAGAGCTGGCATAGGGTGGTTGGTGGATGAATGGGAGTTTTACCAGGGCTTCACCACTGTTTATTGTTTTATATGGTCTTTTTATTGTATTGTATTTTTGTTTGCCACCCAGAGTTCCTTCTGATAGATGGACTGATATATAAATGTGTGTAATAAATACAAATTAAAATCCAGATTAAAAAAAGACATAAAAACATCTTTGCACTTTGGTGTTAGAGAAGACTCCTGAGAATACTGTGGATAGTTAAGAAAACAAACTGATAGATCACTGAAGAAATCAACCCAGAGTTCTTACTTGAGCCACAAATGACCAGGCTCATATTATCCTACTTTGGAACCAGCTTTCTGGAAAAGGCTGTAATGCTGGAAAAGGTGGAAGGAAAGAAAAGGACAACCAGCAGCAAGGTGGATGGAGTCAGTTACAGCAGCAGTGGGGTGCACCTTTGGAAGACCAGGCTGGGGACAGATCATGGAGAAAATCTATTTATGTGGTCACTAGGAGTCAACAATGACTTGATGGTACATAATCAATAAAGGGAAAAGATAAGCGCTATGTGGATTCGTGCACCAATATGGAAAGTAGTGAGGCAATTTTTTCCCCCCAAACACTAATCAGATTCAACCCAGCTTAGCTTTCTGTGATCAGCTCAGCTCCCGGGAGCAAAGCGCTGCTCCCTAGCCAGTCTTACTTCCACCCACACTCTCAGACTGTAGAGGAAACATTTCGGAAGACTTTTTGTATCGAGGAGATAGGACTGGTGTGTTATAATTGTCTTTCATACTCCTGAGTCTTTAGGCCCTCATAGATATTAAGCTGTATTAAGAGTTAAAATTTTTAGAACACAAGGTTATTTTCCAGTTATTCTGCACCAGTTACCAGATAAGGATGTATCAACCTTGGTATGTAAGGA